TAATCCTATTAATAAAAGGAAATTAAAATAAGGAAACTAAATTCTAAAAGGAAATAAACTAATCCTAATCTAAATAAAATTTAAGAATAAACCTATTACGATTAGAAAAGGAAATTAGAAAAGATAATTTAAAAAAGACAAACTACTAGATAAAGTAGAACTATTAATTGTAGTTGTGATGTACTAGATGAATATATATACACACACACACACACACACACACACACACACAAGTAACTTTTACTTGTTTCCAAGCTTAGCTAAACATGATAATCACTGACCATGCCCACCTATTTATGTAATTTTAATTGGGTATTTGGGGGCAATTGTCAGGCAGATAGTTAAAGAAGACAAAGCCCTGCTCTATGAAGACTGGAAAGAGTGTATTGAACCGCTTCTTGGTTCAGCTTTATTGGAGCTTAATCCATATTTTTTTAGCGTCCAAGAATATTTTGCAGCAAGAAGTGTGATTTCTTCGCGATCTTTTGAGATAGATAAATACCATGGATTTGGGATGGTTCCTTTGGCAGACCTGTAAGTTCTACACAATCTTGTGATTTTTTGTAATATTAGTAAAACTATTACGATACCATGCACATAGCTCAGGGAAATTATTTTTATATGAAACAATTTCAAGAAAAGTTCTTAATGAAGGAAATTGGGACTATAATGTGATGGAAAAATAATGGTTTTGTTGGCAATCAAATCAATACATGATTTTACTTCCTTGTTCCTATGAAGCACAATGGGCTGTCCTCAGAAAATGTCTAGACACATTTATCTCTTTGTACGTGAAATGGAAAATATGCATCCTGGAATTTCCTAGCAATAATAAAATCTATGTAATCTTAAGTATTTCATATATTAAAATTAAGCCTGCATTTAATCTTCATCAACTGCATATGATATATTTGAAAGCTTAAGGAAGTTCAGAGAAGCTGTTCCTGGAATTCACGGGAAAGTAGTACATTACACGAGCACTTAGTAAGAATGGTTAACTTAACTCTTCATTTGTTGTAGAAGTAGACTCAAGTTTAACCCCCATGCCCCTGTTTAATATCAGTTTATTCTTTGATTTTCAATCCGCAAAAAATGTTTGTTGCATATTTTCAAGAGACCTAAGCCATCTTGCATCAATTTTTATTTTTTTAATTTCCCCTGTTTTGGTACCTTTCTGCCTAAATTTTAGTTTTTATGTCCAACTTCTATTCGCCACTTTGCTAATATTAACCAAGTCCCTCTTCAATGGCTCTCTGAAACAACAGAAGTTGTCCAATATGCAACTTCTTGGGATAAAGACAAGGTGAATATCCGAGCCTTGACCAATGCAATGCTTACAAAATTCAGTGATTTCAAGATTTTTGATAAAGCGTTAACATGGATTATTATGCATCAAATGGGTGATACTTCAGATAATGTTTCTCTCTCTCTCTGTTTTCTTGGTTGGTTATAGATGCTAAATTCTTTCAGTGTGTTTAGTAAGGAATAGATAGTACTGGGCAACATTAAGGAAGAAAAAGAAGCTAGAATCTTGATCATTATAGTGTATAGTCCTATCTAGTATTGCGTATCAAACACACACTTTGTGTTTAAATCATTAATGTTGAGCAATTGACGTAAGGATCGGCATTCAATGATGACCAGTATTTGTGATAATAATAGATGCTCTCGTACAAGTAAACACCTGATTGTGATAGCATTTCGCAAGTTCGCCGTGCTGTCTCCCTTTAATAGTCTGTAATATAAGTTGAAGACTTTTATTTTAGATTTCCTAATATTAATTTACATACAACTTGCAAAATATGAGTGTTAAGAAAGAAATTATGGGGTTTGGAAAGAAACCATGGATACTGGAGCACAGCATTAGCGAAAGTTCACCCTCATTCACCAGGAATCCGTTTTATCATGACCAGTCTTCTCCTGAATCATAGTGTATTATTTGCATATAAGAGCACGGCAGAGTAATTGTTACCACGCATTTTGTGAATCGTCCATCTAGAAGTATATGTCATTTATGCAAGTACATTAACAAACATTGATGTTATGTGACCTCTTTTTATTTAAGAAACGTCGTTGGCCGGCCAGAAAGAAATAAAAAACTTGGTTTGTTCCTCTTTGTTATTGCAATGGTTTTTGTTTTGTATCAATCCAATATTTTACATTTTCCAGCTTTAATCACAAGACAGCTGCTGAGGATGTACACTTCACTGCCGTATCTTCTCATTCTGAATCTGACAGTGATGCTGACACTGACAACAGCGTTACTGAAATCGATGGAGATGATGAACCTATTGCTCAAGATTCTCATTCAGAAAAGGGTGGTTTTAGTGGGGGTGACATGGATTCTTCTCCTACTTCAGGGGATGACCCAACAGTTCTGGAAATGATCATGATTAAAGATGTTAAAGCTGGATCAGAGGTGTGGACTTTTTGTTGCCAATAATATTTTTGTTTTTCTATTTCATCATGTCAGCTAAAGGTAGTTTGTTGTAAATGCTAAGAGAATGTCCTTTTTGCTTTGATCATTTTTTTATAACAATTGTGAATTTGGTTCTTTGAGCTAGAGTGACCCACTTTTACATGTTAGACTCGGAGATGCAAATAGTTGCTCTTGACCCCTTCTATCATAATGGTTGTTATCTATTCATATGGACATCTCAACTTAAATTTATCATAAGACAGATATCAAAAGTTCGAATCCTGGGGAATCCGATAAAAATCCGTGAGTGGTAAGTTAAGAAGCTCAAATACTTGTAAACTTATTGCGTATCCGTATCCGATATGTATTCAAGCTTGGATATGCTTAGACACTCTCCGGATAGGTTTTTAAAATTATTTTATATTTTTAAAATTTTCAATATTTGCTTTAATGTTTTTTATAATAGTGAAATTATGCTGAATTAAGATATTTAACTGATGAAAAATACTATACACACGTATCCATGTATCCTAAGGTGTATTAAAAAGTTGTATCGGAGTACCCATACGGCATCATATTAGAATTACGTATCCGAATTCGTGTTTCTTAGGTGGTAAGGATGGGCATAAGTCCTCCCAAAGTCGACAGTACGGACACAAGCCCGGGTTGTTACATCCAAAATTCATATAGGCTCTCTGCTTAGTTTTACTAACAAATTGTGCCACTAACAAGAGCTCCTGAACATCTCTTCACTTTCTAGAAGTTGCATTCTTGATATTAAGTTGAAATTATGCTTTTATATGAACACGTATATCTCGCTTTCTGAAATTGTGCTTTTGAGTAATGAAGTGTGTGCACAAGGACTGTGAATGCTACTATAATTAGTGGTCGGATAAATGAAAGTTCATTTAATCCCTAAAATTGTATCTGGAATTATTTGCAATCATGTATTTTGTCTTTGTAAGACTGATCTAGAATTGTCTGCTTTTTGTGGACATTTGTGGTTGATTGATGCTTCTTTTTATTGCCATATTTTCAGGTTTTTAATACATATGGATCCTTGGGTAATGCTGCACTTTTGCACAGATACGGATTCACAGAACCAGATAACCCATTTGACATTGTCAATATTGATCTAGAACTTGTCCTTCAGTGGAGTTCATCTTTGTTTTCGTGTCGTTACGGTAGAAGAAGGTTATCACTGTGGAGAAAATTGGAGCATTCTGGACGTGTTAGTCAGAACTCAGAATATTTTGAAATCTCATTTGATGGGGAACCAGAAGTCGACTTGTTGGTTTTACTGTACATAATGTTGTTACCTGAGGAGGCATATCATGAACTTGATCTTGCATTATCGGCTGTGGGAAATCTCAACAAATCTCCAAATCCTTGTTTCACAGTAAAAGGGAATTTGCTGTTCATAAAAGGGTCGGTGAGCAAGAATTTATTGCTAACGAAAGATGTTCGTGAAGCTCTTTTGTTGCTTACAGATTCCCGGGAAGCTTTTTATGGTCTTAGTTCTCTGGATGATGACATTAGATCATTGAAAGGTTGTTGTCGTGCAAGTGAGTATAAATTATATCACTCCTTGATGTTGCGTATTAGTGAGAGGAGAATCCTGGAGAAACTGAGATGTTATGCTGCTGGTGGTTCTAGAATTCTAACAACAACTGCCAAGGGAGCTAATTCAAGGAGAAAAGTGAAGAGGAAGTGATCTATGTTATACTGGATAATTGAATGTCCCTTCAGCATATTTATATATTTCTTTCAGTAATTGCTACTGCTTTTATCCTGAGATATGGAGTCGTTGAAGTTGGAAGAAATTGCCGTAATTTTCGAATTAGGACGAGTCTATATTGCACGTTGCACCTGGAATTTGAGATATCTGCCACTGCCACTGAAACTGAATTCATTTGGTGTTTCTTCATTACTGTTCTCCAATAGCTTGAATCTACTTAACGTTAACTGTGCTTGAGCATAATTTCTTAGGAGATACTCGACTCTTTGCATCTTCCAAGTGAACATGCTCACTTGACTAGGTTCGAGATGCTAGGTGACGACAACGATGAAAGTTGGCACACATTATGTAACTTATAGGTTGCTGTCATATTATCAATTGCATTACTTATTAAGCCTCTATTTGTCTCTCGTTCTTTAAATTTTTGTTTTACATATTCATTTTTAATCACATTCACAAAATAAAATAATATACACGTAAACCTAAAATCTTTCTCTACTTTTTGATCACACATTTTTCAAAAATTCACTATTCAAAACAATGTTTTCAATAAAATGGCCACCATACATGGGCTAACTTGAACTCATTAAAGTTGTGATATCATATTTAAATATTGTGTAAGTTAATTCAGGTTATACACTTAACCTTCTTTAACCTGCTAGGTTAAAAGTCTTGTCGTAGCTAGTTGAAGAGCTTTATCTACCTCAATTATTTGTCGCTTTCCTTTGGCTTTTCTCAAATTTTAAGGTTTTTTGAGCTTCTTGTGAATCAATGTTACAACTCTTTTTCGCATCATTTACTAAAAGAGTGACCTCATTATTGTCTATAGCAAAACCATCCATCACATTGGTCGTTAAAGTATATTCTCAAAATCCTTAATTATACCCTATATTTTTACGAGATATTTGATTTTGAAGCATCACATAAATGTAAAATGCATTAGAATGGTATCAATTACTTTACGTCACTTATCATGTTAATGGTAATATCCTTTCTGCCTTTTCATTAGCAAAATTGTACGATTGAATTTACTTATTTTGATTTTTAAAAAAAGTTTTTATGGAATAATTTAACTCTGTCAATCTGTCATCTATGATTACATATTGTGTGTTTGGTGCATATTAAAATGAGAGAATACATTTTTTTGAAGTGATATGATGGAAAATATTATTTTATTGAAAAATGTGTGGTTGAAAATGAGAATGAAAAAAATAATATAACTCAAACATGGGCTTAAGGTAGTTAAGAGAGAATTTCAAAATTAAGATTTTTTTTTTTAAATTCAAAAATCAGGTCATAATTAAAATATATTAATTAAATAGATAATTAAAAATATCTTATTAATTAAATATAATAAAGTTACAATACTATATAATTTATGGTCACCGTTTCGTAATAGTTACAATCACAGATCACAGTCACAAATTACAAATTTTATAGGTCACAAATTATTTCACGATCACAAATTGTCAAAATTAATAGACCACATATTATTTATCGACCACAAATAACAAATTTTATATTTCACAACTTATCTTCCAATCATACATTATCAAATTAATAGGCCACATATTATTTCTCGATTAAAAATTATTAAATTAATTGGTTCACAACTTAAACAACTTGTTGGTCGCGATTACAAATTTAATAGTGATCTCACATTTTGTAGGTCACATTTTATTTTTTAGTTATAATCATCTAAATAATTAGTTACAAACACAATTCACCCCACACCACCACCTTAGATATAAACGAAACCACCGAATCAACCAACATCTAGACCCTAAATCTACATGGCCTTAAATTTGATTTTTGAAATTGGAAGTTGAAGGTGATTGTAATTTCCACATGTTTAAATGGAGACGTTGCCAAGCCCAGGAGGATAGTTGTTTAATACGATATTATTTCAATTTTATTAATTTTTAAAAACTAAAATTAAAATAATGAAACTAATAGAATATGGAATAATAAGACAAGAAAATAGAATCAAAACTCTTATGCATGTTTTATTGAGAATCAGTGTTCCATATTTATAAGTTATAATTAGGACTATATGCGTATACTGTCATTTACAAACAATAATTATTTCACTACACTCTCCATTGAATGACTATTTACATAACAACTATTTCTTTAAAAATCTTGTTCGACAAAAACTCTATGAATAAAACTACCAACCGAAGGAAAAAAGATGGGACAAAAATTGAGCGGAGGAAAAAGAGTACAACTATTCAATTAATGAAAATCATTGTATTGAGTCAAATATATCTTGTGGACCAATATCTTCAATGTGACAATTTTTGTGAACGTTATGTTGTCTTATTATAGCTTTCAAGCAATATCTTGGTGGACTAGTCATGATGGTTCTGTAAAAAAAAAAAAAAAAATAATAACTAAATCTTGGTGTTGCTCTCTTCATGAGTCTAGTACAATTCGTAACATTCATTATAAACATTCGTTACACAAAGAATACTTCTTTTTAAAATCTTGCAAGGAAAAATCTTGTGGAACAAATTTTAGTGAAGGAAAAATAATACATTGTTCTTATAAATATAGTATGAAAGTTGCCTCATTATTAAAAATGTGAAAAAGGACCATAAGACAAAATCCCGACCAAGAAAAATAGAGTACAACACACATTTATTATCCTTTATGATAATATAACTTGAAGTATATGCTTCAGCATATTAAACTATGCAATGATTTATATGAATAGTATCATGTCTATTCCATTTCTAATTAGTTTTATCAATTGATTTTCTTTTCAAATGAACAACTTTCATACACAATTCAAATTTACTCATTAATATACAGTTATATTGAAGTAACATAATAGTGTTACAACTAATTTCATCATCCATATCAACCACCGCGTCACCCACCACCTTCGTACCATCACTAAATCACAATCTATTTTCATGTTCAACCACCATCACACCGTCACCACAATCGCAACAAATCATCCATGAACACGGATTGCCATATGCTCTCATAGCTACAAAATCACAAAGAAATGATATAATGCCTTTGTTTGGTTTAGATAAAAATCAAATTTTTAATAGATTTCAATAAAAGTTGACAGAATATGTGATTGAAAAGTTGTGGGTCCAATAAAATTTGTGATTAAAATTAATTATTGAGTTTGACTTAAATTTTAATTATTTTTTAGCTGAACCAAACATGGACCAATGTTCAAGTGGTTAACTGACAAAAACTTGAGCCGGATTGGCCATCATCTGCTCTAGCCCCATTTAGAGGCCATTCCCTCTCTCTAAAAGATTCTAAATTGTGAAATTCATAATATTTAAGAAGAAAAATTAGAATGATGAACAATAAAATATTTACTGAATTATGGGAAAATTGAATTCAACTCAGATCTAGATTTTGTTGAAACAAGAAAAAGTGCAAAGAAAGCAAATTCATAAAAAGCTCCCACAAGGGAGTGCGAACCATTCCTCTGGGTTAGCAGAAATCGTTAAGCACGAACGTAGGCAACTATTTAAAACGTGATTTTCAAAAGCAATAAACATCATACATGCAAGGCAATAAATAAAACATGAGCATGCAACAAAATCACTTACAAGTCAACAAATAAAAGATCGCCACTTGTTACTTTCCAAAAATGACCCGATTGCCTCGAAGCTGTAGAGGAAATCTATAAATACTCGTCTAACAAAAGGAACCATGCAAATTAAAAACTCTCCCTCCCAAATAGCCACTCCCCCAATTGCTCCTATTTGAGCATCAAAATTAGAGAGTTTAGGAGGTGAAAATTCTAGGTAGGTGAGAGGAATTATCAATAAATTGGCTCCGTCTATGGGAAACTTGAGCAAAGAAAACAATGAAATTATTCATTGACGTCGATAAATCTTTGGAATCTATAAAAATGAGCCAAGTAAAAGTAAATCTGGAAATAATTAAAGTGTTGGGAGTTATAACAGAGGAGTACAACGACGAACTAGTAAATATTGGTGCCAATTCGAAACAAAAGTCGGAAAAAACACAAGCCGGGTTGCAAGTTTCCTGCCCGACGCTGTAGCCTATGGAGGAAAATGCCCATAGCAAAGACTGTACACGAAATAGCATAAAACCTCAAATCAGTAATAACAGAGAATGCATAACTTCGTGCAAAGTTTGAGAATCCAAGGGCGACTTGGTAAAATGAATTTAGCAGGGGAGAAACAGAGCCTATTACTAATTTCTTTCTTGAGAACAATAGCAACTTACATGTATCACAAACCTGCTATATTATGTCGAAAAATAAGTGGAGGGAGTTGCAGATTAGCAAGCCTGCCTTGGAGAGACTTGTGACGAGGTGAATTCCCATGATTGGAAATATAATCAATGCAATTGTTGCGAAGATCGAAGAACACGAGTGCTTCAAAGTATTTAAAATGGCAAGGATGCGAAACTAGCAGAGGAATATTGCCAAGAAACCTAAAAATCGAAAGCCTGTATGCTCAATTATAGGATGGGATAACGAAGTGGAACAAAAGCACTGGAGGCAACTGTTAATTAATGTCGCAAGCTCCCGACCTTTGGCGAGAGAAATTAACATTATAATCAAGGACCTCTTATGCAGGTGAAGATCAAGAAATATGCATAGAAAACATTCTCGAACACATAAAGAGCTCGAATTAAAAAATTTCTGGATATGAGTAATCCTTAAAACTGCATCTCTTCCAATTACATTGAATAATGATAAACAGGGAATCATATATCCTCGTGCGATGCACCGACAAGGTGAGTCATAGTAGCCCACAATCATCTTAACTGTCGAAGAATAGTAAGTTAGGTAAATATTCTGTTTTGAAGTGTTTTTGACCAATCGCCCCACAACACCATGGCCAAACTTAGGTATGGTTACACTCGAGAAAGTTGGTTCCAAAAAGACAGGTCATTTTGGCAATAGAGTTAGGTAAAAAGGCATAATAACCAAAAGAAAGAAGCTTGAAAATTCTTGTTTAGGAAAGCAA